TGTTAAAACCTCTCAGGTCATAAAATAATGGGGTTTTGTCTGACTGTTTTTGCACTGTTGCACACTTCAGAGCATATTGACAGTCTCAGTAGGGGCTGTCAATATGCTCTGATATCACTGACACATATCGGATTTATTTTATAGATTGTGTTTCCACAAATAGCCAAATGCAATTCAATACAACTGCAGTTTTGCCATTACGAAACTGTATCTGTACTCAAGGCTCTGCAGGTGTGTGAGAGACTGATAACACCAAAAACCAATGGAGAAAAAAAAACCCCAGAGCCAGTCCCCTGATGAGCAAAAGCTTAATGACTCCATAATCCCTCACCTCGATTATCTCCAGCATCTCCACTCTGGTTATTTTGCCATCACCATCCAGGTCATACATGTTGAAGGCCCAGTTGAGTTTCTGCTCAAAGCTGCCACGGGATGTGATGGACAGAGCGCAGATGAACTCTCGGAAATCAATGGTCCCGTCTCCGTTTTTGTCAAAGGTTCTGAAGGCGTGTTGTGCAAATTTTGACGCATCACCGTAAGGGAAGAACTGCACAAAACAGTAGAGAGAGGTCAACTGGTGCCTTCTTGTTACAGCATAAGCACAGCTTTTTAAAAGGGAAAATAAGTCCTCTACTGCTGCATGATTAGTTTCTACAACAAAAAACTCCAACAGATGCAAAAGAGGCAGTTGATAAAGAAGAACAGGAGCTTCTGGACACAAACCTTCACATAAAGCTGCTGGAACTCCTCCAGATTCAGCCTGCCAGTGGGGCAGTCCTTCAGGAAGCCTTTGTACCACTGCTTCAGCTCATGTTCATTAAACTCTGTGTTCTTCACCAGATCCTCCATCACCTCAGGAGTCAGCTTGCTGTTCTGCTTACCCATGTTTCCTGTGGTGCAAGAACACGTGAATAATGCATTTGCTTTTGCTTCGGCTCGAAAATATTTGTCAGATTCCCACTTCGAAAAAATGAGCACAGAGTGTAAAATGTGCTCTTTTTCTTCTGGGATGGCAGCAAATATTGCCCCAGTGCTCATGTTCTATTTTGGTCCCTTCAGCCTGTTTGTGCCAGCCAGTGGCCTGAGTAGCACTGACCTGGATCAACACCGTCAGAGCAGATCCAGTTCATCAAATGTTCGATCGCTGCTATCAAGTTTCCACTGCAAACGCTGTCCTATAACCTGACAATGACAACAAAGGCTGTGCTTGCTTGTAAAAGAGAGGCTGCTGCAGTAAGTCCACAGACACGAGTAAGGGCAGCGTGCAGGAGCACACAGCACTGGATCAATGGAAAACACACCTGAGTGGTCTGCATGTAATCCAGTGTTTAAAGAAGCCGTGGGAAAGCTGCACAACAATCAGCCTGGGTTGGTTTGTTATCTTTGACAACTTAAGCCAACCACACCAGGGCAGTCCATCAGAAGCCCCACATCCATTAATTATTTACTCATCATGTGGCGAATGACATAAGTGGCCAAGGATGCGTCAACTTCCATTGCATAATTGAACAAATGAGAGAGCAGAATATTATTTGTAATCTAAATACAGGCCGTTGTGGGAGTGTCCACAACTTGAGACTAACATATGGTCCACATCTCTGCAGCATGACAGCAGGCTGGACAGCTCCACCACAGGCAGCACTGCATTGGCTTGGGCCTTCCACAACAAACGGCAGAAATGTGCGCTACAGCCCAAATCACTGCAAACCACAGCTTTTAACGTCCATCCCCTGCGTGTCATAGAACCAAGCTTGGCGAGCGTGATTAGTAATTACAGTAACAGATGTTGGGTATTATCTCTAAAATAGGCTACAGCGAATGACCTTGAGGTGCAACATTTTGCAGGAAGATGACAAAACTGTTTCACGGAGCGTTGAGCTGAGAGAAACGGCTCGACGCGCTGCAACTGCGGCGTTTAATAGAAATATCAGCCACATTGCGCACAGGCCACAGGTATGAACGACTCGTTCTGCCATCGGATGCTGTTTTATATCACGCTTTGGGCAATGACATCCGTGTTAATGCTATTAAAGCTAACCGCCTCCTGTGAGAGCTGGAGAGGGAGACGCTGCTGCATTCCGATGGAAACGACGCAGTGAGAGTATTTTCAGATTAGATCCCCCCCATCCTGCTCCTAATGACATCTTTCCGTGCGCATCGGGCCAGCAAACATGTCAAAATGCAAGAAGCAAACAGCTATTTTTAAAACACAACACAGCCACCCTCGGTGCCGCCGCAGAGCCACATTGGAGGGGTGGGAGAAAAGCGAGAGAAAAAAAGCCCATTAAGTGCAGAAATCTTAGTGACATTTTGTAAATTCACCAAATAATCGCTCTCTGCCTTATTTTTGTTTTTCTGGCTCTTTCCAGGCAAAACGCAGAGGCTTTATTTTAAAAGATGCGCAGGTGCCAGAGAGCCAGCCCTCTCCTCCATCCCCATTCATTCACACCAAAGGAAATTATGAAACATAATGCGCGACATATCAACACGAACCCATCCCTGCATGTATAATCTGAGACACATCTAAGACATGGCACATAGCTCAAAGTGCACGCACTTCTTACCTTATTATTTGGCGATTCTCTATCGGAATAAATCTGCTCTGGCTTCTGCAAAGTACAGAAAACCCCCTGCCGATGAAAACGTTTGCCCAAAAGGGATTATTCTCAACAAGGCTCGCCCTCTTTCAGAGAAAAAAAAATCACCCGCTAATGAAATTTCTGGATTTTCCCGACGTTATTCCAGATGAGGCGCAGCAGGCACCGATCCCACGCCAGTCTTTGGTTATGCGACTACAGGAGCGCGGCGTCACCCGTGTGCATCACAGCCTGATCATAAGTTCACTGTAGCTGCTGCTGCTGCTCGGTTTGGGTTCAGCCTGATCCTGTCACGTTATAACCGGATCTTCATCGTGATGAGGATGGTCAGCTTGAAATTTCATCATCAGGAAATTAACATGTTGGATGTTTCCGTGGCGCAAGAATGGAAGATTAATCGCCTATTCATTTTCGGCCCTGATGAAATTATTCACTGCGACTAATCTGGAATTGGTTTAAATAAACCCGACTGTGAAATATTTCACTTTTATGGTTTTAGACAAATCTGTGAGAAGAATAAATACATTTATTAAAAAACTTAGAGTTTGTAGACAGGCTGTAGAAGACCTGACACCCCAAACCCCAAATCCACCTTCACAAATTTGACCACAAGCCAAGTTAAAGTGTAAAATTCATTATTTTTTACAAATTATTTTTAATATTTTTGCACTTTTGTTGTTTAAAGCCCTTCGCGTTGACCCTAAACACACGATCTACCTTATACTTACTAGCTGTTTCCCTTGGGTACGTTCAAATGCGTCCCCAAGGTGACATTTGGTTTAGTTTTAAAGCCTCTTCATAACCTTTGGGAGACAAAATCCTGAAGTATTCAATTAAAGACCGATTATTACCATTTTCTTTCCATTTTTCCTCAAAAATAATGTCAAGCTTGTCTTAAAAGTATGAAAAGAACCAACACATCTTGTCCATACTGACTGCGGCTTTAAGTCTGAAGCGACTCCAAATTTCTCACAGTCCTCTTTCTGTGAAAAACTGCCCAATCTCTTAGGGTGGTGGTGGTTGGGGGGGCTTCCATCCATGTAAGCTAGTGAGTGTGAATCTAACCTTTCACGTCTCCATGGTGATTAAAAAGTCTAGGTTTGGCATTTAATTTCTTCCTTTTAGAGTTGCGGGGGATTATGCACATCCTCACACACCCACTCACACACAGCACAAATTCAGTTGACCATGAATGTGGCCAAAGTTTTAAATAATGGGGTCAGTGTATGTTCAAATAATCCCTGTGCACCAGAAGCTTAGGCCTCGGAGTTCTCCGTGTACTTTTTTTTTCTATTCTTGGATGTGTATCGTGTAAAAGACAGGAGGTATCCCTCTAGATGCGAGCACAAAGCTGCTGCTGTACAAACCTTCTGTCAGGGGAAAGTTGCCTTAAAGGGAGAGGAGCTGGCTGGTTTCAGACGGTGGATGTACCCAGGCAAAGAAGGGTTATTCTCAAATGTGAGTAATGCAAAGCTACTCTACCAGAGCCCAAGATTTGTATTTTTTTTTTAAATGGAGCTGGAAATTAGCAGAAGTGGTCCACTTTAATATCTAGGTCCTTCTTACCTGATTACAACAGCCTGTGACATAATCATTTTTTAACCACTTCGGGAGATAAACATGGTGCAAGTTCCAGAGCAAATGTGTCTTTACTTAGAAGATTTTAGACCAGATAATAAGTCAGGGAAAAATAGCTACAATGCACAGAGCAGAGGAGAAAATGAGGATTAATATTTTTTTTAGCACTTATTTTGACTTATCATAATATCCCTGAACGTAATGACCGCTTGAGAGAACCAGCAGCGTGCACAAAACCAGGGCCTTGAAACTGACGCAGCTGAATGGAGTTTAGTCATTGTTACCTGCATTATTAATGCATTATTAATATCTACTTTTTCTGCTGTGATGTCAAAAAGT